TAAACTAGTTTTATTTAAGAAAGGACTTGTATCGCTGAAGTTCTTCAGAAAGAATTTTTACGGGAAATTAACAAACAGAGACGTAACAAATTGGTGTCAGAGAGTGGGACGGAAAAGAAAAAAATGGAAACTAGAAGTGGCAAATCAAACTACAGCTTAGCAGGTTTGATGACAGCAATACAAGAACAGCAAAAGAAACAAGAAGAGAGACTACAGCAGTGGCAAGAAAACCTGCAACAGTGGCAGCTCGAACAGCAAAATAAACAAGAGAGATTACAGCAGTTGTTGGATGAAAAAGAAAAGAAACAAGAAGGGAGATTACAACAGCTGTTGGAGGAAAAAGAAAAGAAACAAGAAGAACGAGAAAATAAACAAGAAGAGAGACTACAGCAGTGGCAAGTAGAACAAGAAAGGAAACAGGAAGAAAGTCTCCAACAGTTGCGGGAAGTGAGCAACAACTACAGGAAAGTCAACAACAGTGGCAACAAGAACAAATGGAAAACATTAGTAAATTTCAAAGTGAATTAAATACATTAAAGGATGATTTACTGTCTTTTACACAAGGAGGATATATTAGCCATGAACCTAATCAGCCCCAGACAACGGGAAGCCCCTTCTAGACCTCGCAGCTAAACCCTAATGCAGATATCTTCAGTCCTGTCATAAGTCACATTCCAGACATGAGAGTCAGCAATAGGGGTGATCCTGTACGAAGGAAGCCACAGTAATTCGATGGGAAGACACCGAGGGAAGCATATAGAGCACAATTTGAGCTCCTGGCAGAAATAAATGAATGGACAGAGGAGCAGAAAGCAGTGTAATTGGCAACGAGCTTGAAGGGACAACCACTGGAAATACCTGGGCAGTTGTCAGCAGACGACAGCCACAACTATAGAGCACTGGTAGCTGCTCTAGAACTCAGGTATGGAACCCAAAATCAGTCTGAAGTCTACAGGGCTAGGTTTAGGACGAGAGTCCGTGCTAAAGGGGAGAACCTGCAAAAGCTGGCACAAGATTTGGAAATTATGGCACACAAGGCCTACCCAATTGTGCCACCAGATGTCCTCAAGTTGTTGCTGAGGGATCAGTTTGTAGATGCCTTGGACAGTCCACAACTGAAGATACAAGTAAAGCAAGCACACCCCTCTACAATGCAGGATGCAATGGCCAGAGCACTTGAATTCGACTCCTATGTTAAGTCCAGCACAGAAGTACCAAGGTCGGTACAGTCATCAGGATTCAAGGCCAGAAAAGGGCAGCTTTCAGAGAGGTTTGAGGGACTTTGCTAAGACTGTAATAAA